TATACTTCCTATTTTAGGTAATATTATTGTATGTATGATGTGTTGTTAGAATATTTTATGGTCACCGTGTGCGTTAGTTTGATGATGTCCCCGAGATTAGCTCATGAAGGATTGTTATGTTAAATCTGGCCAGTGGAATTTATTCTGACATAATAATAATAATGGTATGAGCGGTACTAGCCTCAGTTATAAATGTCAATTAATTTAATTGTCAGTAATTAAATTAATTGATGGACATTATATCTTAAACACGGGGAGATAAATCGCGTAATTATTATTGAAGTCTCGGATATAATTCGGGAATTAAATTGAGAGTTTATTCAATAATACTACTTTAATGGAGTGGATGTATTATTCATATCTGGATTTGGTAGGCTTGGCCCGTAGTCTAATTCAAATAGGAGAATCCCAATTTAATACCTCCTCAGGGTCTCTGTCGTAGACTATAAATGCATCACATCTATCTGTTCTTCTTCTCCAAGTAATCCTAGTAAAGATATCTCCAATTTCATCACGCACCAAGATGATCGGAGTAGATGTCGGGTCATACAACAAAAGATCTAAGGTGATCAAGCGATTTATATATTTATCCAACCCCATTGAATATATATATTCAACCCCGTAATGTTTATGTAATTCGCGAGGTTGTTCGTTCTTCACAAAAAGCCAAAAACATGTTTGCCGGATGTATCGGAATCGACCGACGACCATCTCATGACGGTTGGCACTTTTCGGCGACCCTCCAATCAGGTTTCGGCGAACACCGACGAAGGCGGCCGGGCAGGTGAGCTCTGGCAAGCCGCTGCCGTGTGTGGGCGCTGGCCAGCAACCGCTGGGCTCCCAGCCCCGCACACCAAGCAGCTCACGCGTGGTCCATGGAGTAAGCCCGTCTGCTCCAGTAGCCCAGCATTGGAGCAAGCCCGCCAGCGTGAAGCCCATGTCTTGTGCAAGCGGCCCAGTGACGAGGAAGCCCAACACAGAGAAGGCCCAATACTCATGTGCCCAGGAAACACAGCGCACGTGCGGCTCAGCCCGAAGCCATCCCGCGCGTCCTCTTGCCCAATTCCTCGCGGCCCAGCAGCGTGTCTCGAACCATCTTCACTGCGCGGCCCAACGTCACTGAATCCTGCCCAGCGTACAGAGAATTGGCCCAGACTGGTCCAGACCGGTTCAACAAGCTTTCATCACCCATTTCGAGTCCAAGTTGAGGTATAGAAGGCTTGACCAAGTCAGGCTCGTGGTGATCCGACGGTGTTGTTGTGGCTAGTCCGGCTGCCCAACGAACATGAGACTCAGACGATTTCCAACAAAGGATATCAGAAACGTCTCAGAGTCGGCAAAAATATTAAACAGTGTTGAACCCCCACTTCTAGTTCCGTTGCGCTTAGGGTTTAATTCACAGATAGTCCATGACTTGCATAATTTGGAGATCCTAACTGGTCCCAACACAAGCGACCTCCAAAGATCTTCAAATTTTAACTATAGCCTTAGCAAAATATATATGATTTTCAGTTAAAATATCTCAGTAAGATTAGATCTATAACTTGTTCAACTTAATATGGCCATTATAGATCTAGATCATAATTTTTGTTCACATAGCAAATAAACTCCAAAAATTTTCAAATTTAAACCTTAGCCTCAAGACAATTTTATATGATTTATAGAGTTGGAATCACGATTTATCACTTCTACATCTCATGATCTAAAAATCATGCATATAACCTCAATAATTTTAGATCTATTATTCTATATATGTAAAATACTTTACAATTCATATCTAAGACATATGAGAGAAGATTTATAGATCTACCTCTCTAAGGACTCAAAAACGAAAAAGAAAGATGAAGGTGGCTTGGCCAGAGGCGTTAGGGCTGCTGGGCGCTGGAAGCTGCAGGCGCGGTCTGGGAGCTGCTTGGCTTGGCTAGGGGCGATAGAGCTGCTGGGAGCTGGGATCTGCGGGTGCGGCCTTGGAGCT